AATCTTCCAGAAAATCACTACGCAGGTGAGACTCAAGAACTGTAGGATCTTTGGAATAGACGCATTTAAATTGTGGAATATTATACTGAAAAACAAAGTTACTTTTTTCACTAAATAGCATATCCTTTTCAAATTAAGTACAAATTAAGTTCAAATTAAGTAGTACGTATTATACATACACAATCAAGGGATTATTTTAATTTCTTCTGCAGTTATATATCTCTGTCAATAATAAATTCATTATTGCATACTTTTAAGGTAAAAGCTGGAGTTAAGATAAATGATATCCCTCATTTGACACCATTAGTTAAATTTGTAAAAATTAAGTTATACAACTAGATACCGCGAGTTATTACTTTACAATTTTACTTTGTGAATATCATCTTTTGACTACCTTAACATATATTATTAATATTAAGAAATTTTATTTCGATAGTAACTAGTTTTGGTTCTACCAATTAAGTTTGTACAGTTTGCCTATACAAACGTCACTCAATTCTTAAAATTCAAGACTGAATTATAGAGAAAACTCATACCTCGCTAACCTACTTTCGCCCCCTTAAAAAGGTGTTGATTATATATTGAACGCATTGATTAAGATATTAATTTCCCTTTTAATGCAATTCGAGTGATTCAACTAAGTGAACCTAACATGTATATGTATTTGGCAAATCATACTTGACTTTTAAATGTGCTAACTAAAATAAGGTTAGTATGTCGACTCAAAAAATTTAATAACTACTTATGTCCAGTAACTCATCACCTGTATATGTGTGACTATTATGTACTAGGGTTAGGAAATAAGGTGCAAGCAGATTTAAATGCAAGATATACTTGTTGTTTATATACCATATATATTTTTATGTACAAAAGCTGTCAAAAACGTAGGGACGCTTTCTGGTACATCCATAAGTTAAGTAACTTTTGCTGGAGATAATTTTTTATATTAAACAGATTTAAGTTTGGCGAGCAAAGATAATAATATACTTAAGTCTATGTATACAAAAGACTTCAATATTATGTACACAATAAATATTATGTGTCTGTGAAGTTTTGGCATAAGTAGCTACATACATTTTTAAGTTTTTTTTTTTCTAAAGTCTGGAAAACATTAGTATCGTTTCAATCTATCTCACCAATCTTGATGTACATTTGCTTATCTCTTAACATATCTGTGTAATTATCTTACTAATTTAAACAAATTTAAAACTCATCGACAACAAATCTAAACAAAATTAATTAAGCAAACTTTTATTTTAAAGTAAAAAGTAAGCTAAGCTAAGAAAGCACTTAAAATAATTCCTATTTTTTTCATACTGAAAATTGAATCAGTTCCTGTTATTAAGCCGGATATGCCATTTAATGCCGTGGAAGTGTTTCGGTACAAAAACCAGCAGAACAGAAAAGTACAACTTAACAAAAAGCAAAAAAAAAAAAATGAGAAAAGCAGAAAAGTAACGAAAATAACACCTCAAAAGGAAAACCCAATTTCATTTTCAATACAAGATAAAACAAGTCAAACCAACACCGGAAACAAAGTCAAAAAAGTTCAGCAGTTAGACTTAATGTTTTCAATTAGCCCCCAGAATAATGCTTTCAATGAGAGAATAACGCAAAAAGTGCTAAAATCGCTTTCAGGCGTTTACTAATGCGGTCGACCTGCGGCAACAATTGAATTTAATGTGATTATTGGGTTTATTAAAGAGAAGACAAAAGTGCACAGTGCAAAGTGAAAATGAAAATGTAAAAAAAGGAAAAAAAAAGGAAAACGAAAATGAAATTTTCCAAAACCGAAAATCACACTTCTGCTTAGCATAACTTTAGGCGCTTTATGCTAAGGTAACATAAAATTGCGTTATATTAGGAGAAGTATGTGGTTGTTTTATATTTTGTTATTTTTTTATTGAATTTCTGAAAATCTTCATATTTACGCGTAACTGCGTCTGTTTATTTAAGGTTTAATATAGTGGCATATTTTGGCTAAAATATATAATTTTATTGCATGTTTATTTATCATATATATTATGGCATAAGCGTTAACGCCTATTGGTATGCAGCAATAAGCTTTAACATTTTGCTGCTTGTTGATTGTGTTGTCTTAGCTTATTTTTCGATTTCGACTTTCATGGTCCGGTTTCGGTTTTGTGGGTGGGCACAGACGCCTTTGATTTACATTTTTTGCCGTTGTTTGGTTTTCATTTTTGGCTTAAAGCAATTTACGTTCCTTGGTTAAGGATGTGAATTTTAATGTTGTGTATTCTTTTTATTGGGTGTTTTTGTTTGGTCTGCTTTGTTTGTTTATGTTCCCAATTTTTTTCCTGCCGGCCAGTCCAGTCCAACATTGAAGGCACCGGCTTCAACACTTTGCCTTTTTCACTGAACTTTTTCCTTCTTTATTCCCAACATTTTCTGGTTTTTAGTGAATTTATTTCGAAAATCATGTTAATGGCGGAAATTGAAAGTTTGCACGCAAAGGGTACTTTTAAATTGTTAAGTGCTGTTTAGATTGTAATATTATGGGATTTTTATTTTTATATAAATTTTTTATTTGTTTACTATGAGCATTTGTGGTTAAACTCATTCTTGTCCGCTGGCCATTTTTAAATTATCTCTAAGCCAAAAGGTTAATGCCATAATTTAAATTTCTTTATTTGTTTTTGACGCTTTAATGTGCTAAAAATAGCACTTAAGACTTGGGATATTATTCCGAACTAAATCAAATTATTTGAAAATAAATTAATATCATAAAAAATTTTAAATTCTTTTTATGAAGTTTTGCTAAATGTGCTGAATGTTTAATTTAATTTCAAATTGTAAAAA